CGCCTCTGGTGGAGGCGCGCGACCGACCTCGTCGCCAAGACTGGACGAAAGCTTGGGGCCCAAACTCGGGGGCATGACTAATGAAGATAGGGGTGGGCGGAGGAGGAGGAGGAGGAGGAGGAGGAGGAGGAGGAGGAGGAGGAGGAGGAGGAGGAGGAGGGAGGAGGAGGAGCAGCATCTCGTGGTATATCGCTCCCCGAGCGGCAAAGGCCAGAACACGCCCGCCGCGCAGCCCAATACGACGAGAGCTCCGGCCGTGCGCGCCGCCCTGGCGTGGCCGACGTGCACGTGCGGCACGCCCGAAGCGCTGAGGCCACACGGGGCGCCATCTCCGGGGGGGGGCGCAGGTGTGCCTTCCGCCGGCGCGGCGGGTGGGTGACGTCCGCGCCGTGCAGTAGGAGTACACCCTGCGAAATGCTTAAGAAATCATGGGTTAAGAAATTCATAGTCTCAGAACTTGAATAAAACCCAGGACTTCTATCAACATCTAGGGATTTACATTGAAAAGTTAAGAATAATCGAGACTCTGGACGAAAACTTAGGTTTTCTTAAGCATCGCCTAGGGTGTACAGTCGAGGCGTTGACCTAAGGAACCCTGAATAAGGAACGAGGCCCCTCTTTTCCATAAGTTGAGCTTCGATTTCGTACCGAAAACCTAAGGGAAATCCAAGGCAAGCTGCGAAACAATGAAGGAACACGGAGCCCCTCCCCGACGAAAAGGGTTCCTTCTTCAGGGCCCCGACTGTATGTCTGGGTGGTGCCGATCTCTCCTTTTCTAGACGAGCGCGCTCCACTGCTCGCAAAAGGAACTGCTCGTGCATGGCCTCGGTCCCCCGCGGGGGACCTACGACACATGACGTCGTAGCGGGCATGCGTTTCCGACGTCTGCGAGCAGGCACTTTGCAAAGCAGTGCAACCCGCCCGGTGATTCTCGAGGAGCCACAGCGGGATCCGCATCGACAGACCGGGGACGAGCGCCATGGCCAGCGCGGAGAGGTCGGCGGCGAACACGCCCGCGCGGCCGAACGCCAGCATGCCCAGCCCCAGGGCCAACGTCAACACGGGAATGCACACGACCACCAGGAGGCTCTGCATGTAGCGGTCCTACAACCCTCGTAAAGAAAAACTTGACGGACCGATTCAGCACCCACACCCCTCCGTCCCGTCCACAGTTCGCTCTTGACGGGGCCGCTGCCGCGGCGGGAGGGTCGATGCAACATTGGGCGGGGGAGGGGGGGGGGGCTCCGCTGCAAGGAGATGGTTTTTGCGGCCAGCCAATCCACAAAACAACCGATGCGACCCCGAAGCGTTCGCTGAACCCCGTGCATTTGTTCGCCCAGCTTTTCTTCAGGAGTGTCGTGGAAGGAAAAACATATTCACACAAATGTGTAAACCACCGTATGCCCGAGACGGTAATTTTCTGGCAATCTGCGTGGTGCTATCTATGTGTAATAACTTTTACATGGTGAAATATAAGTAAAGCAGCCCATGTGGTGAGAACTGTGTGGAGCACTTACTTGCGATTCCTTTTGGATTGTCCACCCCAATGCTCGCGCACCCCCCCCCCATCCACCCGCAACCTGGTTTGCAGAACCCATGCGGCGGCGATTGCTGCGAGTGCTTCGAATTGGCTGGTGCATCCCTGCGACCGCGCAAGCCCGCGCGCGCAGCGGCCAGCTGGATGTGTCGCGACCGACGCGGCCGCGGTGGCGGCGACCGCTGGGCACATCCCGGCGGGCACTTCAGTGCGAGTCGGTGACTTGGGCGGCGCGGTATCATGGCAACGTCGACAGCGGCAGATACGATGATGCTAATAGCGACGTTGGCGACGATGCTGACAGCGACCACGGCACGGCCAGTGACGGCGCCGATGCTGACCACGCCGACGACGATGACGGCGTCCTCGCGTCGGTGATGAAGGTTTTGGAACGAATTCGCCGTGTGCGCGCGGCCGACGCGCGCGATTCGCCGGTGTGGTGTTATTTGACACGGGTCGCGCCCCCCCTCCCCCCTTCCCCGCACGCGCGCAAGGGAAACCGAATGAGTTCGGCATGTGGCGAAAGAGGACCCTTTGGCAGAAGCCAAAAGCACTGTTGAATAACAAATGGTTTTCTTAAGGGTTCGCTTGCGCGCGGACGCAAGGTTGTTTTAAGAACTGACGTTGTGAAAACATGTGTTTTTTTTTATGGTATCGGGGCGCATGGATTTGAAACCCTTGCGAACCTACGGCTTTTGGAAACGTCCGGCAAGCGCGCGCGACGGCGCGCGCGTGTGCACTTCGTTTCGTGTTTTGCAAGAGGGTTCTCGCGACAGCACGCGCGAGAGGCGTTCGAACGATTTCGACACGCACGCGCGCAAGGCCCTTTTGGTAGCATGTTATGGAAATGTTGGAAACCATATGGCTCTTCTGAAGAATTCGAAAGCCCGCAATTTTGTTTCGAAAGTTCGTGTTGCGAAACCAAGTGTCTACATATGTTAGTTGGGCACTCGGTTTTGAAATCCTCACGGATGCTGTGGTGTTTGAAAGATTGCGGCATGCGCACGCGACGACGCGCGCGTGCAGTTCGTCTCATTTTCGTTGCACGAAGTTCTTGGAAACTGACACTTTTTGATGTATTTTCTGCTGCAGGGGATGACGGGGGCGTCGATGCCTGCCTTCCTGGGATGGCATGAGTTCGTTTTTAGGATCAACGATGGAGCAGAGTCATCTGCAAATTGCAATGCGAAAAGGGGCGCGGATACCCCGATGGGGGGCTATCATCTATTCTCTACTGGGACGGGAAAACGGAGCATTCCAAAGGACTTGACAAATACCACGATCTTGCAAACATCCCACCGAGCCATTCGCAACTGAGCTTGCAAAACCCTTGCGGCGGCGACGGCGATGGATGCTTGGCGTTGGCTGGCGCATCCCTGCGGCCGCGCAAGCCCGCGCATGCTCGCGCGCGCAGCGGCCAGCTAGGCGCGGCGCGGCCGGCGCGGCCGCGGCGGCAGCGACCGCCGGACACATCCCAGCCGGCACTTCAGCGCGCGTCGGCCCGGGGCGGGCGCGGCGCCGTGGCCGCGCTGACCGCGGGAGACGCGACTATGGGAGAGCGATGGCGATGGTGGCGGCGGCGGCGGCGCGGCCAATGGCGGCGCCGACGTTTGACCGCGCCCGGCGATAACGACGACGACGTCTTTGCGTCGGCGATGAAGGTTTTTGGTGGAGTTCGACGCGCGCGCAGCCGACGCGCGCGATTGGCCCGCGCGGTATGATTTGTCACGGATCGCGCCCCCCCCCCCCCCCCCCAGCCCCCGCGCGCGCCGGAGAGTTCAAATGAGTTCGACACGCGGCGCGAGAGGCCCGCGCGGCAAACTTCGATGAACATGCTGCAAAACCGATGGTTTTCTCAAGAATCCGCATGAGCGGGAGGATTCCTGGAAAGCTGACGTTGCAGAACCGCGTGGTTGCATGCGTTTTCGGGGCGCTCGGTTTTGAAAGCCGCGCGACGCCGAATGCGTTCCAATGACGTCGGCATGCGCGCGCGACGACGCGCGCCTGCACTTCGCCCCATTTGTCGCATGGGATCATTGCGACAACGCGCGCGCGGGCGTTCGAACGATGTCGACGCGCGCGCGAGAGGCCGATTCGAAGCATGTCACGACAATGCTGAACAACCGATAGTTTCCGCGAGAATTCGCGAGAGCGCGGGCGCAAACTTGTCGTGAGCACAACCAGGTGTGTTTACATGTCGTCGCGACGCTCGACTTCGACATCCATGCGAAACCGAAATCCTTCCTGAGGAATTCGGCGCGCGCGCGACGACGCGAGCGTGCACTTCGCCCACTTTTACGCGAGGGATCATTGTAAGCTGCTTGTTTTGATAAGCGAGGGCGCGCATCATCTTTGTTGCGGGGGGTGGCGGGCGGCGTCGATCACGGGGCGGAAAAATCCACCCCTATAATTACCGCCCCGACAAGCGCAGCCATTTAGTAAACGCACCCAAGGAAAGGATCGAACAGGGCTGGTCTGTTTGGCAAACGCCCGGGTCCGTTCCATGAACGTCAGTTGTCGGGTCGGGATTGTTTTTCCCCCCATGATCGATACCGGCTGGGTCGGGGCACATGGCGTCGTATTTAGCGTGGGAGATGGGGCAGAATCACGCGCAAATTGCCATGCGAAAAAGGCAACGGTCACAATGATTTGTCGACTCCAATGCACGCGCAATCGCCCCGCCCGCCCGCCCGCGACCTGGCCTGCAAAACCCGCGCGTCGGTGATTGCAGAGAGTGCTTGGTCCTGGCTGGTGCATCTCCGCGGCCGCGCTGGCCCTCGCGCGCGCGGCGGCCAGCTGGCGCGGCGAGACCGACGCAGCCGCGGCGGCGCTCACTGCTGGGCGGGCGCGGCATCATGGCGACGCCAACAACGGTAGACGCGATAGTGCGGCGGTGGCGACGATGGCGGCGGCGACGACGGCAAGACCAATGGCGGCGCCGACGTTGATCGCGCCGGCCAATAACGATGGCGATGTCCTCGCGTCAGCGATGAAGGTTTTGGGAATACATTCCACGCGCGCGCGGCCGACGCGCGCGAGTGGCCCGCCTGGGCGGCGCAGGCGCTGCCCCCCCGCCCCGCTGGAACGCGCGCAAGGGCGTTCGGATGTGTTCGGCATGCGGCGCGGGAAGCCCACTTAGCATCATGCGATGACAACTTAGCGCAACAACCTATGGCTCTTCCGAAGAATTCGCATGGGGGCGCGCGCAAGTTTTTGCTTGAATGCTGACGCTGCAAAACCGATGTTTTCGCATGTTTTCGGGGCACTCGTTACAGCCCTTCCGTTGCCAACAGGCTTTTGACAGATTTCGGCACGCGCGCGCATCGCCCCATGCGTTGCAGAGGATTTCTGCGACGGCACGCGCGCGAGGGCGTTCGAACTATTTCGGCATGCGCGCCTGGGAAGCACGATTGGTGGACTTGTGTGAACATGTTGATGAACCTATGGCTTTCCTCAGGATCTGCAAGGGCGCGAGCGCAAACTGTTGTTTGACAGCGTTTCTCCCGACACCGTGCGTTCGCGTGTCTCATTTCCCCCGGGAAAATGTTCTCGCGGCACTCGGTTTGGGATTCGTTGCGAAACCTGACGTTGCTGAAGGCGTTCGGCATGCGCTCGCGACGACGCGCGCGCGCTTCGCCCCATTCGTTGCATGGGGCCCTCGAAAGTTAGCGGCCATTGGAAACGAATGCGCGCGCATTTTTTCCAGGGGGCGAGGGGGGGGGCCGCTGCTGGTTTGGTCGGGATGTTACGAACTCATACTCAGGATGGCCGATGCGGCAGAACCGCATGTAAATTGCAATGCGAAAAGGCAACCCGTTAAGCCCTGGGGGAAGGGGGGGGGGGGGGAGATCCTGTTTTTCGATTCGGCATGGGAGGCTACGGCGAGCAACGTGTGTGGCGCAATCCATGGCGCGAAGGATCGGTGATTCACGATGCGTCGCGCAACGCGCGCGATGCAACCTGCGCGGCGCGATCAATATGGTAGCGCACATGGTGATATGTACGCGGTGCCGCATAAGAGGCCCAGCCCGCGTTCTGCGAGGCATGCGGGGCAACGCGCGCTGCGCCGCCCATTCTGCGCGACGTATTATGCAGTGTAACCTACGCGTGCAATTCGCCCGTGCTCACAGTGAATTGCCACCCCCGCCGCTCGCGCAATCGCTCCGCCCGCCCGCCCACAACTTGCTTTGTGCAACCCATGCGGCCGCGATTGCGATGAGTGCTTGGTCCTGGCTGGCGCGTCTCTGCGGCAGCGCTAGCTCGCGCGCGCTCGCGCGCGCAGCGGCCGGCTACTTGCGATGGTTCTGCGAGGAGTTCGACGCGCGCGCGCGGCCGACGCGCGAGAGCGGCCCGCGCAGTATTATTCCACACGGGTCGCGCCCCCAGCGCGCGCGCAAGGGCGCTCTAACGATTTCGCCGCGCGGCGCGACTTCCCGAAGAAATCGCAAAGAGCACGAGCGCATTTTTGTCCACCGAGAAGGAATGTTGCAACGCTATGCACTTCTATAAGCTTTCGGGGCACTCTGTTTTGACAGCATGATCAAACCTCGGGTTTTTGAAAGATTCCGGTGCGCGCGCGCGACGACGCGCGCGCGTGCGCTTCGCCTTGATTTGTTGCATGGGATTCCTGCGATGGAACGCGTCCGAGGGCGTTCGAACGATTGAGGCATGCGAGCGCGAGAAGCCTTTCAGGTAGCCAGGATGTTGAAACACTTACGATTTTCTCTTGATTTTTGGAGAGCGCGGCACTTTTTTTCCCAGTCGGTGCTTACCCTGAGGGGGTTCTCGCGGAAGTTGAAGGATTTGGCGAAAGTTTTCCGCCGATTTTGGTCGCGCGCTGGGTTCCTAGGTTCCCGGTTCTGGGTTCGCGGTTTCCCGGCTCCGGTTTCCGGGCCGATTTCGGAGGGCGGCGAGGTTCCCCGGTTCCCGGGTTCCTGGTCGATCCTCTTCTCGATCGGTCTCACCATCGATTCCATTGCCCACTTGTCTAACGATCTCACCATCGATCTCGCAATCGGTCTCACTATCGATTTCACCAGCGATCTCACTAGAGATCGCATGAGCGATCTCGCGATCGATCTCACGATCGATTTCATTGAATCGCTTTCACTCTCGGTCTCACGATCGACCTTGCAGTCGCCCTCGCTATCGATTCCACTACCGATGTCATGATCGACCTCGCAACCAATCTCATTATCCATGCTTTTCTTTTTGAAATCACCCACCGAATGGGTTTTCTCAGGTGCAAAATTTGTTCGTCGCTGTTTTCCGGGGCGCTCGAATTTGGAACCCGCGTGGAAACGAAAAATGTCGAAGGGTTCCGACAAGCGCAACGCTTGCGAAACCTACTCACTGGCCGCTGCGCGCGTTTTTCGTCCCATGCGTTGCTCGGGGCTCTTGAAAACTGCTGATTCCTGCTGCGCGAGTGCGCGCGCATTGCATGTCTTGCATGGGGCGAGGGGGGGGGGGGGGCGTTGCCGGTTTGGCAGGATGATGGGGCCCCATTTTCGGGCTGGTCGATGGGGGGGCAGAATGACACGTTACTCGCAATGCGATGTGGCGGCAAATCCACTAGGGTAGATCATATTCTTAGAAAGGAAGATATACGCCGTGCAAATTATGTTGCGCCACTTCGCCCCGCCGAACTTGAACTTGCCAGCTCCGCTACTCGCGCAATCATCCCACCCATCAGCCCGCAACCTGGTTTGCAAAACTCACGCGGCGGTGAGTGCGATGAGTGCTCGGCGATGGCTCGCACGTCGCCGCGGCCGCGCATGCGCGCATGCTCGCGCGCAAATCGGCAAGCGAGTCTGACGCGACCGACGCGGCCGCGGTGGCGCGGACCGCTGGGAACTTCCCAGCGCGTCTCGCAAGCCGAGCCGGCGCGCGGGCATGTCGGCGCGAGTCGGTGACTCGGGCGGGCCGGATATCACGGCGACGTCGACAACGGCAGGCACGATGCTGATAGTGGCGATGCTGGAGACGATGGTGACACGACGACGGACAAGGTCAATGACGGCGCCGATGCTGATCACGCCGGTGACAACGATGGCACCCTTGCATCGGCGGTGGAGATTGCGAGAAGGATTTCGACATGCGCGCGCGGCCGAGCGCGAGTGGCACTCATGGCGCTGTTTGACAGGGATCGTGCCCACGCTAACACGCGCGCCATGGCGTCCGAACGATCGCGACAGGAGAGGCACGTTTGGTTGGATTTCGTGAACATTTTTAAATAAAAAAAACGATGGTGCGTTGAGAACTCGCCAGAGCTCGCGCGCAAGGTGTTGAATTACCCCAGTGCGACCCTACCTAGAAGTTGGAGCCCCTAGGAAAGCAGCATTAGTTGCGATGCTATGCTATGCTATGCTCTGCTGTGCTTTGCTAAAGCTCGGCGAAACTCAGATGAAGGCAAGCTAAGCTAACATAAATCTGAACTAAGATGAAGCTAAGCTAATCTAAGATGAAATAAGCTGAGCTAAGATGGGATAAGCAACGCTAAGCTAAGGGGACGTAGCTGGGGGCACCGCGGGGCGGATGCCGGGGGAACCGCCCGGGGTGTTTTCCACTGCCCGGCCCTTTAAGCCCAGACAGTAAGAACCCTTCTAGGCAGAGCCTAGGTCAGGAAAAACAGAAGGTGTAAAACCTTTTGTGTTTGTATGACTTCGGCGCGCTCAATGTTGAAATCTTGACGAACCGTGCAATGTTTGAAAGATTCCGGCATGCGCGCGCGACGACGCACGCAACGTCCGAGCTGTTGTAAGGGATTCTTGCGACAGCACGCATGCAAGGGCGCTCGACCGATTTCGACATGCGCGCGCGAGAGGCACGTTAGGTGTTTGAGGGAATCCGGTATGCGAGCGCGACGACGCACGCGTGTGCACGTCGTCCATGTTCCACGGTGTTATTGAAGACTGCTGATTTTTGGTAAGCGAGTGCGCGCGCATATATATATATATATATATATATATATATATATATGCAAAGGATGAACGGGGTGGGGCCGACAAGCTCCTGAATAGGATGGTCGGGTTCCAAATTTCGGATGCGCGGCGGGGCAGAAGCATGTGAAAACTGCAATACGAAAAAGATGGCACGTGGAGTCCGGTGGCGGGGAGATCGATCCGAATACTGTTCGACAACAAATAATTTATGTAGTGCAATCTGAGGCGACGCCGAGTCTGCGACGGGGCGGCGACAGCGACAACAGAGTCGCCAGACTGACGCCAAGGCCCACGCGACGGGCGGCGACGGGCCGCCGGGCCGACGGACACGCCCAAAGGAAACCTTGGACAAGGAATCCAGGGTCTGGAAGCCAACGGCATTCCAATTGTGGATTGGCCATGGATGTCACCGCCGCCCTCATCAGATCAGGAATCCTCCACGGTCTGGAGCCTCCTGGGCATCTTCCTTAACCGGCGCCCACACGGTAGCCGCCAGACGGACAGACAGGCCAATTCCTTCAGGAAATACAGGGAACGCCCTGAGTGCACACTTGGTTTTTCATTCGTCGCCAGTCCTCGCTGACCGTGATACGTTCGACTCCGAAAGCGGCCTGCCTGCATGCAGAGCAACTCGTTGGCTCAGGTGGCTGGCGCTCTGCAGCCCTGCAGTCGGAAGCACCCATCTGCCTTGTGGCGTGCCCGGAGCACGCAGAAGCAGCCTTCCTGATCCCCCTCCTCGTCCTCCTCATCCTTCTCTTGCTGCTCCTGTTGCTCCTGCTGCTTTTGCTGCTCCTCCTCCTCCTCCTCCTCCTCCTCCTCCTCCTCCTCCTCCTCCTCCTCCTCCTCCTCCTCCTCCTCCTCCTCCTCCTCCTCCTCGCGGGGAAAAAAACGCCGGGCTCCGCGCGGATGTCCTGCATCGGCGCTGGGCCCCCCTGGCGGCGCCTCTGGCGCCGCACCTGGCCCGCCCCCCGCGCCCGGGAGGGGGGGGCCCGTCGCCGACCGGGGAGAGAGATCCGCGCGGAGCTCCGGAGAGATTTTATGTCCATGCCGATTGTAGCTCTTCTCGGGTCGGGCGAAAGGGGGGGACGGCAAAGGGGGGGTTGAGAATCAGCTCGCGTAGCTGATTTTCCCGGCGCCTCCCGGCGCCGGAGGCGGCTATGTATCGAGGAATGGGCCCCTCAGGGGGGCCGAAACCAGCTCCATGCAGCAGATTTCGTAACCCCCCCTTTCCCAATCCCCCCCTTTCGTCCAGCCCGATCTTCGAGTGGAGCAGTCCAGCGAGTGGATCCAGTAGTAGGTGCGGTTGAAGTCAGCCATGGCGGCCACGAAGTCCCGGAAGAAGAAGTCCTCTTTCCCGAAGGCCCGGATCGTGTTCAGGGCGGTCAGGAAGCTCGACGTCTTCGACATCACAGGGCTCGTGCTCACCAGCATGATGCGCTGCAAGTGAAGCGACACGGAACCGTACTGTCGGAATATCCTCCGCAGAAAGAGCAGCAGGGGCACGACCACGACGATCGAAGGCCAAATGAGGACACACGACCCAAGCAAGCCCACCATCACGGCACCAAAGTGCTGCATCGTGAACTCGAACAGGCGTGGGAGCTGCAAATCCAGCAGGCTCACGTCCTGGGAGAAACGGTTGAGAATGCGGCCCAGGGGGGTGGTGTCATACCAGGCCATGGTCTGGCGCAGCGCTGCGGCGAGCATCTGCTCGTGAAGCTGCCGGGAGAGCCTGGTGAAATAGAGGGCGGCCGTGGTGACCCGGATCCCCTGGCAGGCGATACTAGAAGAAGAAAGAGCGCCACAAACATAAACTCTTGGCGCTCCGTGCGGACTTCTTGGATCTGCGCCGGACCCCTCCCCCTGGCGCGCGGGGCGCGCCAGGGGGCGGCGCCGGAGGCGCCTTCCGGGGGGGCCCCGCGCGGAGCCAAGAAATCCGCGCGGAGCGCCGACAGCGTGTGCTCATGGCGCTGCTCCCCCCTCGAGATGTAGAGGCACCCCGCCGCCATGTACATCCCGAGCTCGGCGGTGCTGCCGCTCGGGTCCTCCACCGGCAGGCGCGCGGGCCCTCCTCTCCTCGCCGCTCTTTGAGCAGGGACCGACCGTCCCTGCATTCCTATAGTCCTACCACGGAATGTTCTTAGAACCCAAAAATGTTCTAAGAACAAAAACACGGTTCTTAGAACAGAAACCCCATGTGTTCAAACAAGACCATCTCCGCCAGAAATCTTCCAAGAACATTTCGTGGAACCCACAAAAAGTTCTTAGAACATTGTTTGGTAGGGCCCTGGGCGAGCCAGGACGCGTCGCCACTGCTTGAGCTCTCGGGTGAGCGAGCTCGGGCCGCGCGCGGCCGTCGGGGGCGCTCCCGCCCCCCCCCCCCCCCCCCCCGGAAGCGCCCGTGGTGCGGCGGTCGATCCTGCCGCGGCCTGCCCTCTCGCCGATAGCCTACAGCGCTCGGGGCCGGCAGGCCTGCGCGCATGTGCGCCAGGCTGCTCTGTCCGACCGCTGTTACTTTTGAGTCGGGCCTGTCCCCTTTAGATTTTCGACGAAGAATGAAAAGTACCCCAGAAATGCCCCAGAAAGGTCAAACAAATACACCAAAAAATAGTCCCCAGGCTATTTTTTGACTATTTGTTTGTACTATTTGGGGGGTATTTCTTATTTGTCGTCGAAAATCCCCCTGTAGGAGGACAGGCCCGACTTAAGCCTAACTCTCGGCCAGCAGGTCTGCGCACATGTGCGCCAGGTTGCTCTGTCCGACTGCTGTTGCTTCCCCCTGGGGGCCTCGCCCACACCCTCGTGGAGTGTGTGTGGGCAGCGGGCCCTCGCGGCAGCAACAAAAAAAAGCACAGATGGGCACCGCTCCGGGCCCCGCAAGCCCTGCGAGCATGCCGGGGAGCCCTCGGGGACCTGCCGTGCCGGCCGGGTCCTGGCCGACCACGGCGTAGGCCCAGATGCCCAGCAGGACGTTGGTGGCGTACATCAGCGCGGGCGCGAGGAGGCAGAGCGCGACCACGACGCAGCCCAGACCCAACGACCTGCCCACTGCGGCCAGCCTCTGGCGGCGCGCCCGGAGGGGGGGAGGCAGGGAGGGGGGGGCCTTCTGAGAGTGGGCACCCACCAAGGCCTCCGACGCGATGGCTTTTTCCATCCCGGTGTGTGTTTTTTCTCGATGTTGGGGCCGCTTGGCGGGCCCCGGGAACATCAAACATTGGCCGGGGACGACAAACTACCCCTGGGGCAGCAATGGGGACCTGTGGGGCCGCGGATGTTTAAGATCAGGGGGGCGGGTGTCAGAGCGCATGGGAGACATGGGGGCACCTCGTCTGGAGCAATGGTCTGAAGTTGCCCGTTCACGCGTTCGCCTGGCTGATGGTTCCACCCTGGGGGCGGTGCTGTACGCGATGTGGGAGCTGGCAGTGGCGGCTTCGAGCGGCTGCTGCAGGCGCCCTACGATGGCCTGGCCTTTCTCACTGTCCACGCACCGTCTATAGTGCGAGGCACACAATTTCAAGTCTTGGGCACCTGCCAGCATGGATCCGTGGATCCGTGGATCCGGCGCGTGGTCTCCAGATCCACCAGCCACCCTGCCCCTCCTTCTTCCTCCTTATCCTCCTTTCTCCTCCTCCTCCTCCCCCTCCTCCACCTCCTCCCCGTCCCTACTTTCTCCCTTCCTCCTCCTCCTCCTCCTCCTCCTCCTCCTCATCCTCCTCCTCCTCCTCCTCCTCCTCCTCCTCCCCCCGAAAAAATGGTGCCAGCGCCGCCGGATTTGGCAGCGGAGCGCGCCGATTTGGCATGGACGCGGGGCCCGTCGCTCATTCGGGCGCCTGCCGGGGGGCGGCCCGTCCACGCACCTCCCCACCATAAACGGGGGGTAGGGGGGCGAATGCCCTGTGGACGGGACGTGTTGGGCACCGAAGGGCACAACAAGCCCTTCTTGCACCGAAGGCGCCCTGGGCCCACCGCAACCAGCGGAGATACAGTCGGGGCCTTGACCTAAGGAACCCAAAATAAGGAAC